TATAATTATATAATTTTTTTGTGAACGTATTTTATATAATTAAAGTTTACTGTAAATAAATATTATCAATATATTTGAAATTTATAATTTTTTAAAAATTAAAATAGATCATAAAATTAAGTATATAAATACAGAAAAACAATAATTTAATATAGCTGAAATAAATTTTTTAATTATAAAAATAGTTTGCTGAAATGTATCTCTGATGTAATTTACATATAGTTAGATTGGAGGTGAATAGTGTGAACAAAATAAGTAGAAGAGATTTTTATGAGAAAAAAAATTGGTTCATTAACTAGGAGGGGAGAATAGAAAAAAATGAAAGGAAACAAAATTTCTCATCATTTAATTTGATATATATATATATACATATATATATTATAAAACATAGAGTACTGACATTTAATTAAATTTTTGTGTAATGACAAATGATTTGTCATTGACTCTTACATTAAGTGGTACAACTATTAGTAATGGAAAATCATCTTATGACATAAGATTGTATAAATACTAATACATGAACATGTATCATATATCACGTATATAAAACTTATTCAACTACACTAGTTATAGATATAGTAATCCAACAAAAAAAAACTATATAATCTAAGTTGTCAGTTAAATAATTCATACTATTTAGCAACATTGAGTGAACTCCATTATACCACTCCATATCTATCCCCACTATGGTCACTTATCATGTATGATCATTATAGTTTAAAGTACATAAAAATATATGAGAGCAAACTATCATTTAAAGAAAATAACATATATACAGCATGAAACATCAATAACATTAATATGTCATCATGTCTTAATTTCATCTTCAACACTATCAACAATACAACATCATAACACAACCAATATATATGAGCATGAACAACTCAAAACATTACCACACAATAATCAACTTTAACACCACAACAAAAACTACACGGGTCTCCAGCGCATAACAAGTCATTTTTAACATTATATACAACACAAAATATTCGACATAACTATGTACATCATCATGTACTTCAACTAGGAGATCTCTTACAACACATGTTGAACAATTTAAGTGGTTTTACCTTATCAAATCAACAACATAGTTTGGTTTTTTTAGGCTTGTTAGATCAACAGTAATTTGGATATCAATCTACAACATAACAACTTCATTCCTTGAATATTGTTACTTGAATAAGGAAGTTTAGTATTATTGTCAAGGTAGAACGACTAGGTATAGGCCTACCACGACATTAGCTAGCTTAAGTAACTTTTCTATGAAATTAGTTCATCGACTGCCCTCCAAATATTATGTATTTTCAATACTCAATTAGGAACTAAGTTTTCAATTTCATACTTAACTCGGTTAGTCACTTGTAATTAGTATAACTTGACATGACCTCCTATATTGTGGTTACTTTATACATGTGTATCTCGTCTTTACCCACACACAGTACCAACAAATGTCTTAAATGAGACTCAACTATCATTTTCAAGAGTAAACTTCTCAAAAATAATTTTTTAGCAAAGTTGGGTTGAACACCATAAGACAATATCTACATAATGAGATGTGCAACTTTAAAGTAATTTCTTCTCTAGTCTTAAGTTGACCAACACAGCTCAAAAACATTATGTCTAAATACCTAAAACATTCTCAATAATTTTTCATCTCAACAACATAATAATTTCTTCAATATAGCATTTCTAACAATTTTGGTTCTCAGCTTTTAACCCAACAATTTTAATCTCTTAAAATATAATAATTATGTAATGTTTTTCTTTTAAATTTTAATTAAGTAATTTTAGTTATTTAAGTACAACAATTATACAATTTTAGTTCATAAAATATCACAATCATACAAATTTTGACTTCAAGTTAAATATATTATAATTTTCATTTATATTATATATATATATATATATACATTTTTATTTATTATTACTAAAATTAATATGTGTAACTTAAATAGGTAAAATAAATTGTATAATTATAATACTTAAGCAACTAAAATCACACAATTGCAATACTCAAGGATTAAAATCGAGAGGTTGAGCACGAGCTTTGTTTAGAGCAGATGGTTGAGTGTGCAAGAAAAAAATAAATAAATGTTCTCAATTAGAATTTAAGAGACCAAAGTTGTATAACTATGATAATCAAGAAATTAAAATTAGTCAATTAAAATTTGAGGGACTAAAATTGCATAACTATAATACTTAAAAAAATAAAAACAAATTAAGTCATATTTTCATTTCTTTTTCTAAATTGAATCTATATGTATATATAAATTAAAATATATTTTCCCAAATAAAAAGTGTTTATAAAAGCTATTATTTAATAAGATCATTTTAAACTAATTTTCATCGACGAAAGATATTATTAAATAGAGAAAAAAAATACGGTATTAAACATAACAACTATGTAAAAAAAACATAAAAATTATGAAAAAAAATTACTAACAAATTTTATTTTAACTTAAGTGTAATGAATTACTTGTTATAATAATTAATATTTTAGCACGTGAAATGTATATATGTAACTAAAATTTATGATAAATTGCATATATAAATAAATATTATATATAAAAATATAAATCATATTTACAAATTTTTAAAAGTATTTTAAATATATAAATTATATTTTAAATTTATAATAAATGATTTATATTGTAGTATAATATTGTTTTATTTATGTATAATTTATTTTAATATAATATTAAATTTTAATTAATAAATAATTATGATAAATAAAAATTAAGTTAGATAAAATTTTAAAAAAAATTCTAAAAAATTTTTTGTCTGAGAAAAATCTCTTAAAATTACTTCTATGTGAGATAAAAATTTGTATTTAATGTATATGGATTGATTTGTTTATTTATTTGTATAAAATGAACTCAATCAAAACGTTTATATATTTTTTTTTGGGTAAACGTTCAGTTTTTATATAGTTTAATTTTCATAGATTATATAGTTAAAAATATTTTTTTTTTTAAAACAATTGTCTAGAATTGAGTAACTATCCTTATTTCTTAAATAAATGTGATTTATTTTTCGTAGGTGTTTATAGTGATGCTTGATATATTATGAACAAAGACAGCAGAGAGAATTTGAGTAACCACTAATTAACTGTCATTATATTTAAATGGATTTTATATTAAAGACATTGAATGTCTCTATATGATTTTTTTAAAATACAATAAAAATGAGTGATTAATAATAAAAGGATGTGTATAGTTTTTTTTGGGTAATTCTAATTATAAATGTTTTTTTTTACAACAAATAGTAGAGAAATAAAAAATAATTTGAGAGATAAAATTATCTAAATTAAGAAATGTAGATATCAAATGAAGTAATCTCTTTTATTAATTAGTATAAATTAAAATTTATCATTTAGTTTCAATTATAAGATTATTTTTTGGTTAAAATAATTATAATATATTTGTATTATGAGATTGAATTTTTAAATCAATAATTATATTATATCTTTTAAAAAATTATAATAGTCGTATTTATTTAATTGATTAAAATAAAATAAAAAATACTTGTATTACTAGTTTAATATCAAATCCTAAATATCTAGTCATAATTTATTTAATTATGTATTAGAATATATATTAGTACAATTAATTAATTTGAATTAGAATATATAATTACTATAATCATTTTAAATTTTCAAATAAAAAAAAATTCATTCTGATTGTAATTTTTTAATTACCGCTAGTATTTTAGTATGTGTTTCACAAGCTATATATATAAACTAAGTTTTATAATAAATTGAATAAATATTCTATTTAATATATAAATTATATTTTAAATTTGTATAATATATTTTTAAACATAAATCATATTTTGATTTAAAATAAATAATTTATATTATGACGTGATTTTTTTTAATTATTGATGTTTATTTAAAAATATTAAAATTTTAAAATATTTGAATTGGATAAAAAGCTAAAATAATTCCTAAAATCTCTTTGATCAAAAAATATTTTTTAAAAACACTTTTCGTACAAGATAGGAGTTAATTATTACTATAATTATCTATTTTTTATTAATTAAAAATAGAATACATTTTTTATGAAACTTTGGAAGAAAAAAAAACAAGATGGTGTTCATATGACATACAAGACAAAGCTTCATTTCGTGATATATAATTTATAATAGAACTAAATTACTCTTATATATAATGTTTAAATTAATAATTTTGCATTTATGTTATGAAATTGACATAAATAAGATTTCTTAATGTGTTATAAATTTGAATTATAATACCGTATATGTTTCTATTGTTAATATTATTATTTAATTTGAATATCCAAATTATATAAATTATATAAATTTGTTATAATTTCTTTAATTATTATAATTATGCATTAAAATATATATTAATATCATTAATTAATTAATTAAACACAAATACTTGTATCATTTGTTGAATGTCGATCAAATAATAAAAAATATTATATATATGATATAGTTTTTAATGATGTATTAAAATATACAGAGAAAATAAATAATTACAACTATCATTTTTATTAAATTGTTGACTTTTATAATAAATAAAAAAAATATTAACTATGATATATAATTTATTGATAGCATAAAACTATTATATATATATATATATGATTATTATTAAAACCATACCATCTATTATTTTGAATCAAATTATATAATTACTTTAATTACTATAATTAAGTATTTGTACGAATTAAAATTATTTTAGAATGAGAAAAATTAATATCATAATACGGTATGTTTGTTTACAGTTCGTATTAAAATAATATTTAACAAAAAATATATTTATAAAAAAAATAGTTCTTAATTATTTGCTTTCAAACATGTATATGTCATGGATAAATAAAAATATTCTGTTATTACCACCTTTTTCTCTTATGGCATTTTGTTACAAGATATTTCTTTGAGAAGTGGTGACGTCGATAACTGATATAGAGTGATGTTATACAGTCGTCCGTGTGGTCCGGGTTGCGTAAACTAACTAATTAGCTGCAATTTTCTATATTTCAGAGTGTGGTCATAAAATTAAATAAAATCCTGTATCAATAATTTCGTACCTTAGAGTCTTCCACTCAATGCCTTTAATTTCCTTTTCTGTTTCACTTTATGTTGTCATTTGTCGACACATAAAAGAGTCCTAGTTTTAAGCAATGAAGTGATATTCATAGTCCTGCACGTATATAAAATATAAGCCCAGCAATTCTCTTCTTCATTCATTCGTTAGCTATCTAGGGTTTTCTTCTTCTTTCTTTTTGGTTTCTAATTAACACTGTAGAATGAACAAAATTCAGACACATTCTGGGCGTCACTTTACACTGATTTTGTTTTTTGTGGTTCTTCTGCCTTGTTTGGTTGTTGGCGATTGTACATGTGAGAAAGAAGATGATACTGGTGACAAGGGTTTAGCTGAGAAATACAAAGTAGCTGCACTTGTTTCGATTTTGTTTGCAAGTGCAATTGGTGTTACCCTTCCAATGCTGGGCAAAACTTTCCCTGCATTGCATCCGGAGAAGGACTTGTTCTTCATCGTGAAGGCCTTTGCAGCGGGGGTTATATTGTCCACTGGTTTCATCCATGTTTTGCCTGATGCCTTCGAAAAGTTAACATCTCCTTGTCTCAGTGATCATCCCTGGGGCGATTTCCCCTTCGCGGGATTTGTGGCAATGTTAGCAGCTATCGGAACGCTTATGATTGATTCTCTTGCAACTGCATATTTTAAAAAGTCTAGTGTTAGCGAGAAGGATGCTGTTGTTGACGAAGAAGAGCAGGTAGGGGGGCATGACATGCACGTACATACCCATGCAACTCATGGTCATGCTCATGGTTCCATTCCTTCTCCTTCAACAGACCTCCTTCGCCATCGTGTTATTTCTCAGGTCATTAATTATTTTTTTATTTTTCTTCCTACTTCTCTGTGACCAATCATGCAAATTATCTCGTCAATCTCTCGCTCATCTCATATCAAAATATATGTGGCTTCTCCTACTCTGCCAGTCAATTTTTTGCATCTTTCTCACCAATTATTGCTCTTTATTTTTTCCTCTATTTTGCTGCTAATCAGAAATCATTATATTACCTATATATAATTTCAAATATATAAGAAAAAAATTATATATAAACAAATTTTATCTAATTTCATCTTATTTAATGTTTTCATTATTTAAAACACCCTTCATTTAATGGACTTTTTCTTTTTAAATAGGTATGCACTATGCAGTGTCTATAGATATTTTTGGTTTAATTTTGATATTTCTAAACTATAGGTGTTGGAGTTGGGGATTGTGGTGCATTCTGTGATAATAGGGATCTCTCTGGGTGCATCTGAAAGTCCTGACACGATAAGGCCTCTTATTGCTGCTTTAACTTTCCACCAATTTTTTGAAGGCATGGGTCTCGGTGGTTGCATCTCACAGGTATCGTATATTTCACTCATTTATGTTTTCCCGTCTTTTTATTTATTCTTCTGCGGTCACTCATTTTGAATATCTTTTTTTTTGGGTGGTCCTCTACTCCTCTAGTTTTAAGTATATCTGGATATATCCTAACATTTTGGGGCTGAAATCTTTGCATATCTTAATTACATTAAGATGCAAATTCCTTAAGAATTTCCTCAAAATACTTGCAGTAAAAATAAAAATGATTTAAAATCTTAACTCAAGTTAAAGTGAGATGTAAAGTCAATATTGTTCGACATAATTAAAATAGTACATATCAATATCTCTGTCTGCTAAACCATGCATATTGATCAGGTTTTCATTTTCAGAATGTAACTTGGCGGAAGTTTCTTTGTATGTGTAAGATAAATTATTTTTCCTTGGCTGTTTAAAAATGGAATCATTTAAAGGCAATGAAATAACAAGTAACAACCATGTCTGTACTATCTTTCGTTTTCAAGGATAGAAGATTTTATCTTTAATTTCCTGCAGCATAGACATGATGGTATTGGATGCAATTCACTAGGCTTGAATTTAAACGTACGAGACCCAAAAAAAACTGTTGACTTTTGTGGTGTGCTTTCGCTAGCGTATAGATAGTGACACCGCCTAAAGATTCTCCTGAATAAGAACGTTCAATCTTCAAAGTAAATGGATTTTTAATGAACAAGTCTTCCGAGTTTGAATATTTTGGCTCCTGTAACCATCACAATAATTAATGTTGTTGAATTTGTGGGCTATTTTTTGTTTGTCTCGCGTTTTAGCCTTAGATCATTTACTACAATTTGTAACCTAGTTGGACCCCTACAAATACTATAGTGTAAATTCAGTTTAGAGAAAGATTTTCTCCGTCCTACTAGCTAATAGTATTATGTTCAGGCAAAATTCAAGACAAAGTCAGTGATAATTATGGCATTATTCTTTTCATTGACAACACCTGTTGGAATTGCAATCGGCATGGGAATTACTAGTTCTTACAGGGAAAACAGCCAACGTGCTCTCATCGTGGAAGGTATTCTGAACGCAGCATCAGCGGGGATTTTAATTTACATGTCTCTTGTGGACCTCCTTGCGGCTGATTTAATGAGTCCCAAAGTCCAAGCAAGTGGTAAGCTTCAGCTAGGAGTTAATGCATTTCTTCTTTTTGGGGCTGGTTGTATGTCCCTTCTAGCCAAATGGGCCTAAATCATTAGGGCCAACTATTGTATATAGCTTTCTTTTATTATTATTATTATTATTACAATTAATGATAGTGATTCAACTCTTTAAGCCGATTTTGGTGTTTTTTTTCTACTGTTCCTGCCCTCATCTTTTGGATTATAAGAACAAATAGCTTTTTGTCTAGGAAGGTTTTTTCTTCTTGTATCTAATTCTAGACAGATATTTCATATTGTGAATGGATTTCGCAATAAATATAATTTGTTCGCCCGTGTATTTTACTTTGCATTTTATAAATAATTATAGGCGGGACAAATTTTAATCACACACTTTAACATATTTCATCCTACTAGTTTAAATTTATTGAAAATAAAAAATATGGATCCCATATCCTATTTAATGAATATCTTTCATATATATTTTAGTTTTCGATAAATTTTAATTAATCATTTACTATTTTTGAATCGCTTACAGTCTAATTCTCGATTATTTTTATTCATGGGAAACATATTTGATGCTAAAAAATTTATGACAACTCACACCCTCTATTTAATTAGTTAAACTCTCTTGGTCTTTGATTATTTTTAATTAAAATTACCTATTTTATAGTGTCTAGAAGAATACTACTTATTGAATGCATAATAGAAATCAATAAGTAATAAGTATATATCTCACACAATACGTGAGTGAATAAATATATTCAAAATATAAAAAAGTTACACTTTAATATTTAAAAGAAAAATATATATCTTATTTTTAATATTTTATCATATATTATAAACTCATGCATTGCACAAAATACTTGTTGGTTAAAAGTATATATATATATATATATATATATATATATATATATATATACACACAAAAAAAGTATTATGTA